TGTTGTTGAGAACATAGGCTGAGGCAGGTAGAATACTTTGAACTGTACACTAAACCAGTGACTGCAAATTTGGTATCACAACAACAAACAAAATTTATCAATCATAAATTTTCCAAAATTACAAAATTACAACTTTTATTACTACTGATTTAAAAAATACAATTAAAAATTATTTGTAAAATATAAAAATAATGATAAAGTCACTGTCAGCGATACCTGTTTTTGTAACTGGAAACGGTATTTTATAGCTAGGTTGGAGTTCTCTTGAAGTAAAGTCATAAAATCACACCAGTTTCGGCAAATATTGTAAATATATTCTTGTAAGTAAAATTTTTGTGTTTGTATTTTTCAACATCAATATAAGCTGACTCATGCAGATAAAAATAAAAAATATATTATTCTGAAGCAGGTGTGAATAAAGTTTCTGGAATCCGACTTTTAACAACAAATTTTCAAGTATTTGGCCTGTGCCTACTCGGAACTCTGACGTCAGAGCCCAACTTTCCTCAACTGCATGAATCACGCCTGACCAATAGGCTGAGCTTGTCATACATCCGACCAATCAGAGACTTAAATAAATATATTCCTTAGTTCATTCCCGAACATTCCCAGCTCCCTCTTTCATTCTTTAATATTCAGTTTACCATGGCCAGCGAAGATTTCGGCCAATTTGGCCGACGCTCGGTCGATCGTGATGACTTTGACGACATGCGAGAACAAATGGCCAAAGAGAGAGATAAGTTTTTTCGTGATGTAAATCCCATGGATTGGCAAAGAGAGGCTGGGGGACCTGGTAGACAGGGACATTTCACCTTGGTGGGTTCTCTTTTCAACTTAATTTTTTCAGTTTCAAATTCCTTTTTTATTTTCTAACATTGTCATTTTTATAATTAATTCTTTTATTTCGAGTACAATGGTTTACGCCCACTTTAAGACCCATGTGTGAGTTTAATAATAAACATTGCTAGCTCTATAAACTCTTGAGTTCTATGCAGAACCATAAACATGTCAAGTTTCAAGGCCCGTACGGTAAATTTGCGTGCTTCTAATGAGAGAGAGAGATGGGGATGTTTTTAATTCATTTTGCTTGTTTGTTGAATATCCAATGAGGGGGGAGTAGACTATAGAATTGTGATTTTTGGTATAAAAGGATTTTTTTGCCTAAAGCCTTTCACATTTTTGAACCCAGTGAATTGATTATCTTGAATTAGTGTTATGTTTGTTTTTAAAAGTTTTATTAGTCGTTACTTTGAAGTAATAAAATTATCAATATTTAATTAAAATAAATTCATGGAAGATAAGGTGAATGAGACCGAAACGGCTTAAGGGGGGTGGGGTAAGAGGGGACGCCCCCGGAAAAAAAGGGGTGCAACTAGAGAGGCCCTTTCTAGTCCTTAAATTTTGATTTTTAAGAGTTGGTTCAAATTCTTAGTTTTGCCTTCGCCAAAATTAATTAATATTATAAGAATTAATCGATCGAATAGGGGGCACAAAATATAAATTCCACCCACCCACCCTCTAAAATACATAATTACAATAAAAATCTAGTCATAATCATTATCATAAAGATATTAAAAGTGATGATATAATTGATTTGAGAATCGGTTACGGTTGAAACTACGTACTTTCATTTCAATTTGATATTTATGTAAATTTCATAAATAAAACTTTAAATCTTTAAACCTTTAAACCTTTAAATCTTTAAACCTTTAAACCTTTAAACCTTTAAATCTTTAAACCTTTAAACCGGTTTAAACCTTTAAACCTTTAAACTTTTAAACCTTTAAACCTTTAAACCTTAAACTTTAATCTTTAAACCTTTAAACCTCTCAACCTTTAAACCGCTAAACCTCTAGCTTTGCATCTTCTAGAAAAAGAAGTGGGCATTAGGGGAGGTTTAAAATTATACCATTGTTAATGATCAATGTACAACAATTTTATGCGTTTAATAAGGTTTTCTTCTCCTCCCATTATTAGTTTTTACAATGATTTTTAAAACTTTTTCTTTTGCCAAATTGTAAAATTTAAAATGCATAATGCATATGTGAGATGTTTATTTTTTTTCAATGGGAAACATGGATTTTAATTTACAATATTTACCAGGATTCAAATAAAGTTAAGAAAAATCAAGATTAATTGTACAAGTTGATAAAGCGTATGAATTTTAAAAGCTTAATTTAAATATTTTAATACCAATTTTTATGCGAAGCTCTTGATAGAAACATTAAGTCGGAATAAATATTAAATAAAACAATACATAATGAGGAATCAATACAGAAATCCTTTTTTCTTTCCATACTGTATTCTTTTTTTAAATATTGATAAATAAAATAAATATATTTTGTTGGTGGCCGGGTTTTTGTCCTTTTCGTTTTATATAAAAACCTTAATTTTTTTTCTTTTACGTTTTTCCATATTCTTTTAAAGTTTTTTCTTTGTTCTCTTCCCTTTAATTCCTAAAATACACTTTTTGTCAACGATCTTTTATTTCTAAGATATTGCCAATAAAGTTCAGAAAAATCCACTAAATTTTAGGACTTTCTTAGTTCTGAAAAAAAAATTGAATAAGTTGATTGCTTTGAATTCTTGTCTTGTTACACAAGCTGTCAAAATAAATTGGGAATTATGGCTTCACTTATTTTTTATCCATTTCTGAGGAAGAGACAGGGTTTATATATATACATTTATCTTAAGATCAATACCAACCGTTTTTAAAGCATTCAGGATTTTTAAGGCTTTCCGGAGACCCTATACAAACATTTAATAAGTTTAACATATTTCTAATTGTATTCTCTAGAGTTAATGCGTTTATTACACTAAGCAAAATCTTGACACTTCAAAAAAAAAGCCTGAAAGATTTTTTAAAAACGTTCGTCCAGGCTAAAATTTTGCTAAATTTCATAAAAAGAAACTTAAAGAGTAATAAGTTTTGAAATACGTATGACGAATTTGTAAGTTGAGGCCCACTTTATGTGCACAACATTAAAAAATTGCCTTAAAAAATAGTTTGTTTTTTAAACTTAAAAAAACCTTTTTAAACTGAAAAAAACCTTTTTAAACTTTAAAAACCTTTTTAAACTTTAAAAAACCTTTTTAACTTTAAAAAACCTTTTGAAACTTCAAAAACGCCGATTCAAGCAGATAAACAATGTAAGAAATTTGTTATTTTTATGATGTACTTAAAAAATGCTGTAATAAAAATCAACATTGAAAAGCTAAACTTATCACTTATAATTAGGCCTAGTATTTTTGGACTTTTTAAGGGTTTGTTCAGTTTAGAGGAATAAGTGAATTCTGGAAGGAAATACGTTTTAAGTCAATTTTAAACAAAATCTTCTTAACTTCTTTTTTTTATCAAACTTTTAGCCTTTAAAAATGTATTGGTTGGTTGATTGATTTAAGTATCATTCATGTATTATATGTATATAAACTAGTGAACAAAACTAAAACAAAAAATAAATTCAATTTTATCTCCTTTTTGGCATGGTTACATATGTATTGTACAGGATACCCACAAAGGATGAAACTGTAAAGCTGACGACCTGAATCTTTTTTAAAATGACGGCTACAAAGTTAATTTAAGTTTTCTACCTTGAATAAGATCTTTTTATTGTTTTTTTTTTAAATCTAGCAAAGGAAGAAACAAGCTTACAGTTGCAGGCAGTTATGAATATCAGGAAAGAGATTATATAACTTCCGCACAGTCGTCTCTGAAGTCTCATCCTTAGCGGATAACCCTGTATAGAAATGCAGTTCATTTTAAGACAATTTCTTTGTCTATTCTTTCAAACAGGGTTTTACACAAGGAAACAAGGGAATTTTTTTAGATCTTAAGAAAGCTTTTGACTGTTGCAACTTAGATATTCAGGGGGGGGGGGGATATACTCAGGAACCCTCTGGAGGATATGATTCTCAGATTACATTTGTTCAATGCAGCGTGAAGAAATAAATAGTTTTTCAAAATATAAATTGTTTTTTATTTTCAGCCTCGGAGTTCGTTCTCTGGGTTTCCGGGAGGAGGCCTCCGATTCTCCGAGGTTGGCCGACCGCCAGCTCAGAGGCCGGTTGAGGACGACCTTCCCGAAGTTCGAGGTAGTTCTAGCAGGTGTACAGACTCCATACCTATCAATGTTATCCATGAGAAATCAGCTGACCCATCTAAACACAGGTATACAGCTGCAGGTCGGAATACTACAGAGATACCAACTCAGCACGCACAGACCGAGCACAGTCCGAGATTGGAGCGTGCTCATTCCGAACCTCCAAATAAATTCAACCAGAGGTTGAACCTAAATCGACCAGTATACTCGACTATACCGGAGAACGGAGAGGGATTAAACCAGTCTCAAGCTAATCTAGGCTCAAGTCCCAGGCAAAATAGCACAATCAAAACGTCCGCCTCGGCTCCCAGTGTTCCAGAGTCAAGGGGGGCGCAGCCCGTCCCTCCGCCCAGAAAATCTCCGCCCCGACCAAACATGAACTCCGCCCCAAGCAACCCTGGTCCTAGGACCGCTGTTCCAACAGGGACAAATGTGAGACATATTCCAATATTTGTTGAAGGAAGAGCGGAGCCGATTTTTAATTCCAACCTCTCATCAAACCCAACCAATAACGCGACAGAGATGTCTTTCCCCAAACCCTCTGACTATTATCCTGCCGGAGTTCAAAGAATTCGGAGCCGGGACGAAACAGATAGTCCGGATTTATTTCAAGGACGACGAGTGCCTGTTGACGAGCCGACCACGCCCCAGGGCCCGCCTCCTGGACCAATTCCCATGGGCTATCTACCCTCTGTGCACCCTGAGCCGCCGGTTGAACCAACAACTCCCCAGGGACCTCCACCAGGACCAATACCTATGGGATATCTGCCTACAAACCAATCAGAAAACCCTCCAGCTGAAGTACAGTCTACTCAACCTTGTGATTCTACACCCAACCAGAATTCGGAGGAGTCCAGCCATCCTACTCCAGTTCCTCCACCACCTCCGATTAGAAACAAAGTTGCTCCATCCTCCGATCATCAAGAATGTCTTCCTGAATCTCAACCAAGCTCGAAACCCCAGGAACCTGTAGCAAACTTTATACCCATTAAGGTAGAACAAGGACGGCCGACTAGTCCTACACCGAGCAGTCGTCCTTCTAGTGCAAACAGTCGTCCTTCTAGCCAGGAACTTCCCAAGGACGAACCAAAAACCACGGAGCCAAGAGATCCAAAGATCAGTAAACTTGAAACTATAAACCTAGATGTGGAAAATCTCCGGGTTCGAATTAGTAATTACTCCGGGTCTCGGAAAAACAAGGAATATCTCTACCTGGATGATATGTTAACAAAACTACTAATCTCCCTGGACGGAATAGATGCGGATGGGCGGAATGATATAAAACAAATGCGGAAAGAATCTGTGAAGAAAGTTGATGATTATTTAAAGTTGTTGGATGAAAAAGCGTCGGATTAAGTCTTCAACAAAAAATGATTTAGTGATTATTTAGTGATGAATTTCCCAAAAAATAAATACAATTATAAAAGTAAAAGGTTCAAATTCGTTGGAAGATCTTTACAAAACTAGGGAGTGAAACTTTAAAAATATATATTTTCAAAACATAATTTAAATAATGCAAGATATGTAATATGTATTATTGTACATATAAATTATATTTAGTATCATTATAGTGTACACTGTACATTAAGTACTGTACATATAAATGTATTAAGCACAATGTTTTTACAAATATTTGTGCATAACGTGACTGTGAAAACAATATTTCACGCCAAATTATGCAAACTGCAATATCTGAATTCTTTTCCGCAAAATATCGTTTATCTAAATTTAAATCTTTGATTTGCAACATTAACCCCCTCCTCATCCATCCCAAGGGACCTGGAAACAAGTTCTCCATTTTTTCAGATTTATTTTTAAGATTAAATGTATGTACAGGATTATCCAGAAATGATGAGACTGTAGAGAGAACATGAAACTCTTGAAATATAACGATTTCGAGATTAAATTAATTTTTATGCTTTATTTATAGTCTTTTTAAATCGTTTTAATGATTGTGCAAAGAAAAAAGTGTACTACAGTCGTCTCTGAGGTCTCATTCTTTCTGGGTAGCCCTGTATATACAAAGAAAATATCTAAAAAAAATTAAACATTTTGAAAAATATTTTGTGTATAAGAAATTGATGAGTTTGCAAGTTTTTTGTTGTTAAATATTAAAAATTCTATTAATACTGTTAACAATTCTCAATAATAAATACAAATTAACATTGCTTCATTCAATTCTACAATAATTGTTATCTTTTATTATAAGATAGCATACTACATTATTCTTCTTCTCGAATACTTAATTTAAAAAATATATTTTTACATTTGAAAAGGTGTTGATAATATTTGAAAAGGTGTTAATAATATTTGAAAAGGTGTTAATAATATTTGAAAAGGTGTTAATAATATTTGAAAAGGTGTTGATAATATACAGGGTTTCACAATAAACATGGGAATCCAGTGACGATTTCGATATCGTCTTTTTTAATAATTCTTTGATTTAGTTCAGAATTTGTTTGTTTATGTTTTGACTGCATACGGTTGTACTTTGTAAAACATGAAAATTACAGTATAGAAACAGAGTAAAATTGTCCATCTTCACTGTTCATTGCGGAGACATTAAATACACATCTTATCTTTACTACCATTTACCGTTTTCATAAAATAAACTCTAGCAGACATAATAATATTATGGCTTTTGAAATTAGGTATTCATAACAAAGACGATATCGAATTCGTCACTGCATTCCCATGTTTATTGGGACACACTGTAAATAAAAAGGTATATATTACAGACAAAACGTAAGGAAAACACATACAAAATTTATGGAAATCATGAAAAATTGCGAAATGGCTTGTCGCCTGTAGCTGGCCTCAATTTCCCTATTGATAAGAAGAAATAAATACGACCTGAAGGTTTTCCAACCTAGATTTTAATTTTTTTAGAAACAAACCTAAAGATTTTCAACCTTGTGGAAACGGAACTAAAGATACCTTTATGCAAGAAATATATATTTGTTGCCTTTTTAAAAAAACTTTGGGACCTTTTGACTTTGTACAAACAGACCTAAAGATTTCCAACCTTGTGGAGACGGACCTGAAGATTTTCAACCTTGCAGAAACAGACCTAAAGATGTTCCAACCTTGTATCGAAACAGACCTAAAGATTTTCCAACCTTGTAGAAACAGACCTAAAGATTTTCCAACCTTGTGGAGACAGGGGCGGACACAGGATTTCAGCCAGGGGAAGGGGCCGAGATGTTTTAGGTACACAAAAATCTCTATATAGGAACAAACAATTGTGAGGTGTTTCGATATGGGCCCAGGATCACCGAGTGAAACGTAGTGAGCGAGCCGAGGGGTTGCAAGGGGGATAGGGCGGAATTTGTAAACAAGAATAGATGTATCAGTGTTTGTTTAGTATCCGAGGAGGTTAAAAGCATTAAATTTTGATAATTAATATAATATTTTCCTATGACCAGAATATTTTATTGATTTTTTATGTGATGTGAAAAATGGATCCCATGTCAGGGTCCGACATCCGCCTTATGTTTACATTACCTCCCAGAGACAGTACACTGCAGTACAAAAGATGCAAACACCCCTGAAATAACTTTTCTTGCATAATAACCTTGGATGACACTAAATGTGGATAATTTTAATATTGCTACTCACGTTCACTGATTTTGAATTGTCTGGACAAAATGTTGACATACTGTGAGACAATTTAAGTTTCTGAACAATTCAAGGAATTGATTTTTTGATACATTTGGAACATAATATTTATTTATATGTTACATTGAATCATGTGTGTCTGAAATATATCTGACCCCTTTCCTCCTGGAGGAGACTTTTATTATAATGTTGTTCCCAAAGTTATAATGCAAGGAAAGATATTTCAGAGGTGCACGCATCTTTTGTACTGCAGTGTACTGTCCAAAGAGAATAGAATATATATTGAAGGGGAATTTACTCGAAAAAAGTGTTAAACGGCCATTTTGTTGTACTGTTTCCATACTGCAGGTGTACTTCACATATTTGGGCCCTGGAACATCATTTTATAAAAATCTGAAATTAATATTAAAAGAAAAACCAAATTATGAAAAAGGCTGGTTTCATAATTGACCAATGATCATTTCACATAGACTCTATGCCTTTCACTTTACTAACGATGATTTTCCGTTATAACTATAAATCAAATGATGTTTTTTATTCANTGAAGCAGCAAATGTGTGATTAATGGATTAATGATTAATGGATATTTAATTAGTACTTTACTAGAGAAAGCTTTTAGCAAGGATTTAATGCAAGGAAAGTTATTTCAGAGGTGTACGCATCTTTTGTACTGCAGTGTACTGTCATTGGGCGGTAATGTAAACACAAGACGGATGTCGAAGCCTGACATGGAATCTATCTTTCACATAAAAAATCAATGAAATATTCTGGTCATAGGAAACTATACGCAACTGCAATTAACTTTCCTTGCATTATAACCTTGATTGTTCCTATCTAACTTGCATATTAAGGGTAAAACATTTTCATGAAACACAAATAAAGAAGTGAATACTTCTTTTAATTTTAAGCAGCATTTACAAAAGAGCATTTTTCGATAATACCAAAACTGACTATTGAAAATGGGTATTTGTGGCCGAAAAACGCGGTTATACAAGTGATTTTTTTATTTTTTCAATCATTGAATAACGAAGACATAAAATGTAAAAAAGTTTTTCAATAAACTACAGACGTCATGTATAGGAATATGTTGAACAAATAAAAATTAATCTTATCATAGAAAATAAGTAATCTTTTTCAATTATTAGTTTCCATTTTTTCATTATTCTGGTTTCTCATTATATACAAAGATTTTCTGCAGACTTTCTAGAATTATTATTGAAAAGACGACATTTGAAGAATTTGAAGAAATCTGCGAATAAATTCAAAGAAAATGAGAAATTCAATATAACAATGAAAACGAAATAATCGATTTTAGCATTGATTTATTGACAAATTTCTTTTGAGACCTAACCATCTAATTAGATTACTGTATAATTTTTACTTTATTTTAACTCAAGGTGTATGTTGTCTTATCTTCTATAGTCTTCTTAACTCAAGGTGTATGTCGCCTTATCTTCTAGTCTTCTTAACTCAAGATGAATGTTGTCTTAATTTATAGTCTTCTTAACTCAAGATATATGTTGTCTTATCTTCTAGTCTTCTTAACTCAAGATGCATGTTGTCTTATCTTCTATAGTCTTCTTAACTCAAGGTGTATGTTGTCTTATCTTCTAGTCTTCTTAACTCAAGATGTATGTTGTCTTATCTTCTAGTCTTCTTAACTCAAGATGTATGTTGTCTTATCTTCTAGTCTTCTGAAATCAAGATGTATTTATTTCTAGTCTTATTAACTAAAGTGTGTTATCTCCTATAGTCAATTCTTAATTCAAAATAATTACCATGGACAAGCAAGATATTACGTGGTGAAACGAAATTGATAATTTAGGAAACCCGGTTTTTAAAACACCTATCTTTAAAAATACCATTTAAATGTCTAAAGAGTAAAGACGTCGAATTGTTAATATTTTCCAGGAAAAATCACCCATAACTTAGAAACAAATAAAATCATTTATTTTTACTTTTTTACTTTCCTTTTTTCACTTCTCTCTGATTTTTTTTATTTTTTTCTTATGCTTCTGCATCTAAGACATAAGTCCACTCTCTAACCTTTTTATTTATTCAAAATTTACGTATACAAATTTTTCCTTGATTGCAATATATTTTTATTCTAAATTCACAATTATAATAATGAGATAATGCCAAGTGCATATTTCTATTTCATACGGCAGCTTTTAAAATTCAAAATTAGGTTTAATGCCAATTTTTAAAAAAAGGATTGTGAAAAAAAAGTTCTATTCTCGTATTTATTTATTATTATAGATACAAATACTACACACTATTTATATATAGGTATATAATGTGTATAAATAAGAAAATATAGCCTCTATTACTGCTTGTCTATCTCTCTAGCTATGTCTATCTATCTATCTCTAGTAGCTGGCATGTTTATTGGGACACA